ATTTGGATTAGTAGAACTCCAGTTATGAGTGAAACAAGTAGCTACTGTTTTGTGGCATAATCGATGCATTGTGGAAATAGTTAATTAAATAATCGAGAAGAGATATGCACCTACTCAATAAACATGATGCACTTGTTAACATATATGCATTCGTAATACTTATGCCATACTCATGCATCTAGGATCGGAGGAAGAGATCACGTTGCTGGAATTCGAAGAAGCAGAGGAAGGGAATCAGCAGGAGGATCCGCAAGCCACAGCTCCCGAAGGCGTGGAGCAGAACCCTGAAGAGCTTCCGGAGTGTCCTAACCATCGCCCTACTTCCTTTCTGCGAGGTAAGCCCCGGAGCATTATAAGTCTCCCCGTAATTACAAATGTTTACTTAAGTACTTATGATTGATGCATTAGGTTATAAGAGTTGAATGGAACCACTTGATGCATGTAAATTCCTTGTCCAGATATTAACCCTTTAACCGGTATAGGTCCAGGATCGAATATGCTTAGCCATGCTTAGACCGGTAGAAGTCGGGTGATGTCATGTCACCTGCGAGATATAGGTGGATACCGGAGCACGGTTGGCTATATTTGCTATCGTGGAACAGAACCATGGGGTAAAAGAAAATTGAGACCGGACGGGAAGTCGATAGAGAAGCAACAAGACATGGAGGTCTTGGGTGTGGATCTATCCCCGTCTGTGTCGATTAAGGACCGTACCGTTGTTGGCGCTTCTGATAAGATTGAACGCATGCCTCTCACTTAGCTGGCCGGATAACTCGTTCCGACCGTGAAGCCGAGTAATTCAACTCAGGTGGGGAACCATTCTGTTGTGCGCTCCTTCCGGGGAACGATCAGACTGAGCCCAAGGGCAGGCTTGGCCTGAGCATCCTGGCATCTGGTGTTCCAGATTGTGCGGCGCGGTACGGACCCGCGAAATGTGTACCTAAGTTGTACCAAAGATGACCTAAGGCTATCATGGCTGGTAGACCTGGGTTTGTGTTAGGAATAAATTCCCAGCTGGTTGAAATCGATTCGAATCGCCGTCTCTCCCGGATAGTGAGAAACTTGGCTAGTCCCAACATCGTAGTAACTGTGTTATGAAACATGATGGTTCGGATTAATATGGAATTACAATACCTGCTATGGTTACTATTGTATGCTTCTAAATGATATACCACATATTTGGCACAGGATAGTTGCTAATCTAGAAATGGATAGTTATAATTAACTTGATAAAGGAATCATAATTGTACAATGAGTCAATTGCCTTTTACGCAAAATGTTGTCAAGTTACGTCTACTTATACAGCCTTGCATAATCCTTGGAGTTATTTTATTTCTGGTTCATGACGGGTAAGTCTAGCTGAGTACTTTCTCGTACTCAGGGTTTATTTTCCCATTGTTGCAGATGGCACTGTGTATCATGGTTATTGCAAGAGTTGCTTCTATCCCGCCGTGGATGAGGAGTGAGCCTTGGGCAGGCTTCTTTATTAATTCCTATCCTTGCTTTTGTGGACCGTGATCCGACTTGGCACTGTATTAAACTATGTTGGAAACTTTATTTTCGAACTTAATTGCTTCCGCTTTATTTATCAAACTCGGTTTGTAATAACTTTTATTCGTACTCTGATGACGAAATGTATCTGTAAACTTTATGTAATATGTGGCATGCATGTTGAATCCTGTACGATCTTGGTTGTTGTAAATCGTTTATCGAGACCCGTCGTGGTACTCGACGGACTACCGGGTTTATATGGGTTCAAGTATGACAGTGCGACCGCTTGCAGGCCGCCATTGTACTTGTACTCTTATAAATTGATCGGTTCTGCGACAGCCATGAGCCCATGATATTCTCTTATAATACGAACATTATGTGCAACAAACATTCAAGGGTTGACCCGCGCCCAGCAGCTTTTTAGCTTATCGAAGACAACGAAAACATGGAAATCAGTGTTTAACTGATTATTATCCGGCGAGAGCCAACATGTGCAACGAACTTTGTGAGCAGTCTAGTCATCAGGATTTCTATTCTTGACGATTAACTAATCTGTACCTTACCAGCGTCACTTTTTTGTTTAGAGTAGAATAAATGTCCTGTTCGCTTGGCTGATAAGCCATGGCTGTTGGCTGATTTGTTGTGAGAGAAAAATATTATTCGCTGGCTGAAAAAGTACGGCTTATAAGCCACGCGAACGGCTCGTTTCACACACACTCGACAACACATAAAACACTCAGTCCAAAATAAATGCATATCTTATATTTCTCACTAAATATATGAAAAAAATAGTAGCAACATTTATGTATCAAAGGCCCTGTTCGCTTCTCTTATAATCCGTCTTTTTGGCTTGTTTTTTCAGCTGGAACAGTGTTTTTCTCTTACAACAAAAAAAAACTCCACCTGCGGGGGTTATGACGGCCCCCCGAGTTTTTCCTTTAAGAAGAAGATCTTCTCACACAGATCGAGAAAACCCCGGAACCCCGCCCCCATCCTTACGCAGCGGTATCCGTTGCCCTGTGAGAACCGGGCCGGGCCATAACTGCGCTTTGGCACATGGGGACGAGGGGATTTTTTTAATCTCGGCCTGAAATTCGCTCCCACGAGGAGTCGAACTCATGATCTGAGGAGTGCCGCTGGGTCACCTAACCGTTTGAGCTAGGCGTCCTTTGGCTTTTCTCTCACAATAAATCAGCCAGAACAGTGTTTCGGATTGTTTTTTTAACGAAACGAACGAGGCCAAAATAATTTTACTATAAAAAAATATTATTACTTTTTGTACATATATTATCAAACCTAAGACTCATTGACTCCTCAACTTATTTTGAGATGGATGGAGTATATATACTGGCTTGCTGAGAAACAAGTACTTGAGATGCGCCAAGTTTTTTTGGAAGAAACCATATAAAACTACAAACAATTTTGTAAGAAACTCAGCATTCCTATAGATAGTTTCTAGTAGTCTAATAAAACCAGAAAAAACATATTTCTATTTCTTACATCAATGTCCATTGGATAAGTTGCTTACATCAATGTCCATGGGATAAGAAGCAACTTCTTTGATCGGCCCAGGCTTCCTGTTCTTGTGGCCCAAAACAGGCCCTTGTGTGCGCGGTTGTTGGGCGCTTTCCCTGTCAATCTTTTTTTTTTCTTTCATACCCTACATATCCTAGAAACTAAGCTAGAAAGATGTGGAAGGGCGCAAAGATGAATGAAGGTCAAATTGAGCATCGCCATGCCAATACCGTCCGATTTTACAGTTTTCGGCCTGCAGACCTCAGAAGACAATATGGAAACACACTAATAGCTCCAAAAATCACGATTTTCATGTAGAGGGCTTCTCAACTTCATAAGGATCATTTCCACAAGAGACTCCCAAATATGGAAGTTCACTAAACCGGCCTAACTGGATTTAAAAACTGGTCTGGCACGTTCCGGCGCGGCCGCGGAACCATTCCCGGCGTGCCGCCACGGGCAAGCTCCAGCGCGGAATCCAGCGGCAGCCCAGCCCTACTCCATCCCTGGCCTCACCTTCCCAGTGGCGCACGTAGTGGAAGAAGAAGAGGGAAGAGGCGTGAGCGAGAGAGGGAGAGAGTTGAGAGACGTGGGCCGTGAGTGACACGTGAGGTCGCTCAATATTTTCTTTAGAAGCCACAGCTACGGAAGCAAATGGTTTTTTAACTTTTTCATGGCTATTTTTCCACAGCTGCTTTTCTAAAAGCCATAGCCTAGGTCTGCTTTTTCAAAATCCAACTCCCAACCAAACAGTGTCTAAAGCTCTGCTTTGGTACGTTGTTGGTTTCACGTGCCAATGACCCGGCGCGGATCTGTGACTGGTCGGGCCTCGGAGGAGGTGGCCCCAGCCCGACGGCCAGGCGCGCGTTCAGATCAGCGATGACGCAGTAGCAATACACGCAAGCAAGCGCATGCACACGCTCTTTCCTGGAAATTTGCTTGTCCAGTGCTTGTGTTGACACAAAATTATAAGGAGCAAAAGAAAGACCTAAAGCCGAAATGGGATTAAAATTCATTCCTGCACTTCCCTCCCCTTTCTTTTCCTCGAGCATTTTTGCATTATCGTTGATATGGGATTAAAATTCATTCCAGCTCAGCCCTTTGTTTAGTCCCTACAAGCTATGGAGTTTATTTTTTGCTTAAATCAATATAATCCCTACGGGTTTCATTCATACTCCCTCCGTCCGGAAAAGAATACAATTCTAACATAGTGTCATGGTTTAGTATCTTAAGTTTGATGAATTATAGATAAAAAACACCAATACTTCTGATATCAAATAAATATCATTATATTAATTACAAAATATATTTTTATAATAAATTATTTTGGAGCTGTAAATGTGAATAGTATTCATTAGAAATTTAGTCAAACATGAAGTATTTTTGCCGGCACGTAACTCATAGTTGCATTCTTTTCTGGACGGATGAAGTATATAACACGCCAAATTTGGAGCTTATGAAAACATAGGAACTCTTTATGTTTTCAGAACGGCAGGTGGCGAGGTACGTGGCAAATTTGGCTGTCCATCTCAGCGATGCTCAAAAACTAGGAACTAACATGTCCTGTCTAAACTGACGTGACTAAGGATTCCACGACCGTATCAGGGAGCCAATCTACGGCGGCAGCTGTGGCGCCCAGCCCTACCAAAATGATGGAATTCTTCTCGTATTTTTAAGTAGTAATAAAACACCATCACTAGTCATAGCACGTAGAAATCTTATTAGGGGACATTTCGTAGAGAAAATTAACACTAAATTTGGAATGACAAAACACTAGGCACCTCACTAGGAGAACTTCAATATTCTGGTCCAACTGGATGTGACTACGGGCTCAACGACTGCATCAGGGAGCCAATCTAGGGCGGGGGCAGCGGGGGCGTCGTCTACAACGATGAGGAGCCGCGATTCTACGGCGATGGTGACCAAGTCCACGGCACTGGCGATGAGGAGCGAATCTACGGTGGTGGCGACCAGTTCCATTTGTTCATGTTGTACTATTCTCTAAAATCAACCTCCATTTCTCTCTGACATTCAAAGATATTATATCCCTGGTCATAAATCATACATCAAATCAGTCAACGGTAGGTCTCAGCTACTTAAACAATGTAGGGATAGATAAGTAGGGTAAGACCCAACAAGTGAGCCATACTGGAACCGACTCTAGGAAGGGGAGCATGTGTAATCGCCGAGCGCATTAGCCCCACTTTATTTACCACCACTCCACCTATCATCAACCAGCCGGGCCCATCTTCAGTGCTCCTAGCTTCAGCACGTCCCTGATGGCTGATGCTCTGTTTCAGAAACAGAGAACAAGTGTGAGTATGTATAACAGAGACAAACATACTAAAAATAAACTGAAGATGTCCTTGATTTGAAATGAACACAAGTCACGACCTCCATAGTTCTTCCAGACTAGGAACAGTGGCCAGATTTCTGCTTCCCATTCAGTAGTGGCGTCATTTGCATTTTCTGTCCTGCAGCACTTGTTTGCGCAGCTCTTATTATGCCTCCATAGGTGAGAGGTGCCATTCTTAGAGTGACCATTGTACCCCCTATCACAGACGTGGCACACTGCATAAACCACGCCACGATCTGCGCTGTAAACCTTGGTGAAGTGCATCCAAACTTCTGATTTGCCGTTGGAAGCAGCAGTTCTCTTGCCCCTGGTATCACTCTTACCGTGCATGTAATCACTGGATAGGGTAGAGTCCATGTTTACGCCTTCACCTAAACAGAGCAGGGAATATTAATCTCTATACTTGGTGGCTGTGCAAAGTTTTAACTACTATGGAATCGATGCAAGGAAGTGATTTGAAAATGGCACGTCGAAAGAAGTATTACCGTTGTAGTACCCTATAGTGTCATTGTCACCATTCAGTCTCCTGTCCAAGTCACTGAAAATAGCGGTGACCGCATCTTTGTCATAGCGGAATACCTTGCGAATTACCATGTCCCCCTACAAGTAAGAGAGTATGAAGCATAATTAAAAACCAAGGCAAGGAAAAAGGTGCTGCAACAGGTTTACTAGTTGGTTTTTCTGTAGAAGAGGGGTACAGATTTCATGAAGATTCTCAATTCAAACTATCTCTATGTTAAGAAGTGTGTAGAAACAGAGCAGGGGACTCGATGTCATCGACCTGTTTGAATTCGAGCATGATCCAGGCCGTCTTAAGCATGTTGCCGTTCTGATTGAGATGAAACTCTAGGGTCCTCCTCAGCCCCATGTACTGTGGCACCTGCATTTGCATCTGATAATCGATTTGGATAGCAGTGAACACATTATCTATATCCTTCCAGAACCCCTGCATTTGTTGCTGTTCCGTCCGGATCGCAGTGAACTCCTTATCTATCTCCTCCCAGCACCCTTCATTTGTCTGCCAGTTCAATGAGGTCGTGACGTAGCAGGCGTTGTTGCCGAGAACCCATGGGTTCAGCTGGGTGAGGTTGGCGTTCACCTCTTGACACTCGAGCTTCCCTTCTATCTTCTGTTGGTTGTACGGATCAAGCACTGTACGGAGGCGGTGCAGCATTTCACGGTCCTCATCGGTCGAAGGATTGTTGCAGCTTGAGCGGCATTTGGCACTGTTCCTGTGCCTTGGAAGCCGAGAAGTGCCCTGTTTCTTGGGATGAGCCCTGAGAACTTTGTCACAGTGGTGGCACGCCGCGTACACCACATCAGGATCATTAGTACGTATCTTGGTGAAGTGCTTCCAAACATTGTCTGTTTTTCCATGGGGATGGCAGTGAGCTCCTAAATCTTTTCAACCCCTCCAATGTTTCAGTGCTCGGCGCCTTCACTGGTTGCGAAGACTCGGATATTTTTTTTCTTTATACCAAGACTATACCGATAGCGTCTTGGTGCATTTAGAACCAGTAAGACGGCTCTTCTCCAGCGCTTTAACCTGCAGAGTTTCTGTCGTTTATATTTATATCTATCTAAAAGAAAAATGAAGTTACTATTGATAGCTGGTGGCTGGTGCTTATACAAAATCGATTTACTATTAATCTACTGATGATGTAGGTAAGGATTCTCAAATGCTTACTGCAGCATTATGTTTGCGTGTTTGTAAGCTCTGACGCATGACTCGACCTGGCGGCAAAGTGTGATCTGTTTCACACTTTCACCTTTCATGAATACCTTACGAAGCACCACATCCTCCTACGAGAGCGCCAAGCATACATACATAGTTCAGGAAAAATGTAAAATTGGTCACTTCACTTGTGGTGCAGGTGCAGCTAGCGATGTAGGTAAGGTACCTCGAGCAACAAGGCTGCTCCGGCCTCGTCCTTGCGAAGGTGCTGGTAGTCGTGGATGAGCCAGTCCGTCTTGGTGCCTTCTCCGCCGGTGCCGTCGTTGAGGTAAAACTCGAGGGTCCTCCTAACCCCGTGGTAAGAGGGGGAACAGGAGGAGGAGGAATCATCTCCAGAACGGATGGCGATGAACTCATCTTCTCTCTCTTTCCAGTACCCAGAGTGCGTCCGCAGGCTCTTCCACTTGTTCTTTCTCAAGAGGAAGTAGGGTGGGAGTTCCCATGGGTCAAGCTGGAAGTTGGCGTCGTCCTCCATCATGACGAACAGAAGGCTATTTCCTTCCATCGAGAAGACGAGAACTCGAGATGGAGTGGAAATTGGATTTCAGCTGGAAGAAGCGAAGACGACGTCGACTGGGAAAAATCCGGTGACAAAGTTTGGATCTGCTGGCCAATTAGCTGGAAGAAGCCGGACCTGCGGAGTCAAGTATGGATGTGGCCAAGCTTCAATTTTGCTATCGGTGAAAGGGGAGAAGAGCCATGGACAGGAGGGGAAGGAAGAAGGGGATGGATCGAGTTGGAGATACCCCGATATCGATGATTGTCCTGGCCACCTGGGAAGAATGCTTTTGCTTTTGTAGACGCGCACGCCCAGCCTGGCGGGCCCCATGTGTCACAGACGTCGCGCCCTTCAGGTCCCGCCCGGCCTGACGACGCCAGGCTCCGATCCGCCTGCCCGCCGCCGTCAAGTATGGATGTGGCCAAGCTTCAATTTTGATTTCGATCGAGTTTTCTTCTTGATTAAGGTACCTTCAGCTCGGGCCGGCCCGCCGGCTGGCATGATGTGTATAGCTCTACTTGTCAACTCTGCTAAAAAAAAGCTCTACTTGTCAACCGAAATATATACGCTACCGGATACACAGAGCCCCAAAACATTCGGCAAACGACACTCGCCATAGGTTTTAACGGCAAAGAGATGTTTGTCAAGTGTCAATCGTCGGGCACTCGGCAAAGACTATGCTGAGTCCAAAAAAAACACTCGGCAAACATTTTTCGGGAAAAAAAACAAGTCGCCGGCGGCACCACCACCACAGCCGCCGGCCACCACCGCCACCACCACCACCACCACCACAGCCGCCGGCCACCACCACCACCAAAGCTGCCGCCGTCACCACGACGCCCCGACGCCGGCCACCACCACCACCACCAAAGCCGCCGCCGCCACCACCACCACACCACGCCGCCCGCCGCCAGATCCGGCCGCCACTGGCCGGATCCGGGAGAGGGAGAGCCGGATCCGACCGGGAGAAGAAGAAGGGGAGGGGAGGGGCCGCCGCCATGGAGCCTGCCACCGTCGTGTTGCTCGCCGTGGAGCCTGCTGCCGGAGGGCTCCTAACCGTCAGATCCACGGATCCACCGCCACCGGGATCCAACCCACCGGATCCGCTGCCGGAGGACACCCCTTCGCCGGATCCTCGCCGTGGTGGCTCCATTCCACCGGATCCGCGATGCCACCCGCCGGTGGAGCCATGGAGGGAGGGGAGGAGGGCGGATCTGCACCGCCACCCGCCGCTGCTGCTGCTGCTGCTCCGCATCGCCGGGAGGGGCTGGGCTGCCTCGTGCGGGGCTGTGAAGGGCCCCCCGGAGGGAGGGGAGCGGCGTGGCGGCGCCGGAGAGAGGGCGCAGGCGGGTCGATCTAAGGAGGAAGCAGGGGAGCTGAGGCCCTGGTGGATCTAGTGAGGGAGGGGAGGGCGGGTCGGGGAGAGGGAGGGGGCGGGGGGGGGCCTTGCCGCCGGGAGAGGAGGAGGGAAGGAGGAGGGGCGGCTTGGAAATGGAGGAGGGGAGGGAGGAGAGGGCACCATGGGGAAGAAGAAGAGGGAGGGAGGGCGCCCAGAAGAAGAAAAAGGGGGAGGGGAGGCGCGCCGCCAGGGGAAGAAGAATGAGGAGGGGAGGGGCGCCTGCGGGAAGAAGAAGGGGAGGGGAGGGGCACCAGCGGGGAATTAAGTAGGATTTTGTCATTTACCGAGTGTTCTAGATCTGGGCACTCGGCAAAGTTTTTTTTTATTTTTTTTCTTCTCCTTTCCCAGAATTTTTTTTATTTCTTTGCCGAGTGCAAAAAAGAAAACACTCAGCAAACCCCCTATTTGCCGAGTGTTTTTTTTTGCCGAGGGTTTTTAGCACAGCACTAAGCAAAGAACTTGTTCGCCGAGTGCCCGAGGAAAAACACTCGGCAAACGTAAAAACACTCGGCAAATTTGACGTTTCCGGTAGTGATATATGGAAACAAATCTATTTTGTCTCTCTTGGCTATAGGAAAAGTTGACTCTAAAACTGAAAATAGCTCATCCCTCGTAGCATCTACAATAATTTAAAAAATCATCACTTGGTAAACTACACATGCGCCAGCCTCGAAGTACCGTGGATGTAGTTTGTGGGATTTTGGGTTCAAAAACAGATGAATCAACCAATCGGTACAGGACATGGAATATGTATGTAGCTCAGCCTACACATGCACCAATATTTTTCCCATGCAACATAAGGAGTCAAATAATATTAAGTTTGACTAGATTTATAGAAAATAGTATTGATATTTGTATTTTCGGATATGTTTATTATCAAAGTATGTTTCATGATTAATCTAGTGATAATTAATATGCATGATGAATACTAGTATTTTTGTATATATTTGGTTAAACTTGGATTTTTTTTATTTTTTCTTCAAAAATGAGTATATTGTGTTATTGTTAGGATAGAGCGAGAGCTTGCGATGCCAGTGCGGTGGCGGCTCAACCTTTGGCAGAAAGAGCAACCACTATAGGGCTGCAGGCTTTATTGGTCGGCTCCATTTGCCTCGTGCTGAGGAGCGAGGCCGTGGTGGTCTGGTGGATGGCTTTTCTTTTGGACACGCATGCAGTAACTCTGCGGTGGACCAAGCAACCATGGAGGTCAGTCCGTCCATGGTTGGTGGAGATCATTCAAACTACTGGTAGCTGATGATCAAAGCCATTCTTTTTTACTTGTGTAATTGTGCGTTCGTGATGGCATGAGGATTCGATGGAAAACGCATGCAAGAAAGCTTATTTGTTTCCGTTCCCCCAATTTCGTCAGATGAGAACCGATCACAATCAGGAATAAAAGACAACCTTAACATTAAATAAAACTTGGCCTAGAAAAATTTGTGATGATGGGAGTCATCGAGGTGCTCAAGTAGCCACAGTCATAGAACAGTGGAACGTTGCATGGGCATATGTACATACACGTGGTACACGTAGGCCAAAAATCTGACTCTGCACATCTTCAGAAATGAAATGGGAAGAATCCTTTGGCCATTTACCTAGCTCTTCTGATGATGCTATATGGAAAAAAATTTGGAAGCTAGAGGTCCCTCCCAAAGTTGAAGTGTTCTGGTGGCGTGTTTTGCACGAATTCCTACCGACGAAGCAAATTTTATTCAGAAGGCACATAGAACCGGAGGCCTTCTGTGAGGTCTGTGGGGAGCCAGAAGAATCGATCAGGCATGTACTCTTGGACTGTATAGTGGCAAGGCAGTTCTGGCAATATACAAGATGGGCAACAGGGGTCAAATTACCAAGCCTGAATGCTGAGACGTGGGCTGCTGATTTGATGTCACAGCTTTGCCCAAGACGAGATCGTGCTCTGATTATGATTGGAATGTGGGCGCTTTGGATGCTGAGGAACCGGCGACGCCATGGAGAGCTGACGATGCCGGTTCAGCAGGCGGTGATCTGGGCCAAAGATACAGCTTATGATTAATGGCAGCTAAGCCACCAATTTGACAAACCAGCTCCAGCATACAATAGGGATAAATGGAGAAAGCCGGAGGTGGGATGGTCGAAGATTAATACGGATGCTGCGTTCTCTGAAGAAAGCAAGGAAGGAGCAACCTCGTCCATTATCAGAGATGATCAAGGCGCGTTCTATTCGGCACAAGCAATCTGGTATGAGCGTGGTCTTGATGTTTGCTCCATGGAGGCCTTGGCGTGCAGGGATGGCATGAAGCTTGCTGCACAGATGGGTTTACGTCGGGTGGCCTTGGAAACCGACTGTCTCCAGGTTGTGCAATTGTGGAAGGAGTCACAAAGATCCATCATTGATCCTATTCTGAAGGAGATGGAGGAAATTAGCCTTGCCTTTCAAGAGTTTTCTTTCTCTTTTATTAGTAGAAGTTCTAATAAGGTTGCACATTTGTTAGCTCGTCAGGTTTCTAGTTCACATTGCTCGGAGGTGTGGCGTGTTACTCCAGCATGTGTGTATGACTTGATCATGGTTGAGGCTTCGGCCGGCTGATTTACGAAAGGCAAGCAATTCAAAAAAAAAACCCTCCTCGATGCACTGTGAATTCCCTTGCAAAGAAATCGAGTTCGATTCGCGGCGGATCGGCACACACGCAGCTGCAAGGCCACAAGATATAACCCTCCGTGATGTGTTGAGCTTGGCATCAGAAATGACAAAACAGTAGCACTTGCAACACCTCTCTGCAGTTTGCCTGCCGTCAGCAGAGTTGGTAGTGTGGAAAACAGAGTAGCGTGTCCACGCCGTGTCGCGTGTGTACAAATAGCACGCGAATTCAAAACGACTGCAGTGGCGGACGGTAATATAACTGTTCTGAAATTCAATGTCAGCAATGTCCTCCTCGAGCGGGCCTGCAGGACGACTGCAGTGGAGGATATGAAGGCAAGGAGGCTCCGATCCTACTGTGATCAGGTCACAGATAACAGCATCCTTGAAAATTATGAGGTCATGCACGTAGAAAACGCCTCACCAGAGTCAAAACAAAGACGTTTCTTGATTTAATTCAACAATCCAATCTTTAGATGGTTCTTTGGTCTCTCCGCCAAAGAAAAAGATTTGCCATCTGTCCACTGAGCATTCCTCAAACAAAATTCACGTAGCAGCATACACGCTGGGGCTCCAAACAGCGTATGTAATGTTTGGCACAACTTAAAGAAAAAACAAGACTAAAAAACACCAGCAGTATATATCACGACCTTATTCAGATACATACGCAAACAAAACACTGGTTATTCAGATACATGCGCCACTTGATCAGGAGACACCAAAACGGATCTTCTCCTTCCTCGATAAGCAGAGCACCAAATTCTTCAACTCCTTGCATCAGCTTGACACGAGACACGCGTCCGTGCTATCCAGCCCAGCGTAATAAGGCACCTGATGGATATCAATGAGACAAATTCTAGACTCTAGTCGTCTCTTCCGCCCTCAATGCCAGATTACCTATAAATAATTGAAAACGGGCATGGATAATTAAAAGCAGAGAAGATAAACATCTAACCAAATTAGAAAATTCAGACAAGGGTCATAGCTTACATATATCTTCATAGCCATCTCATTCGGCATGTCTGTACGTTCACTATATCCAAGTGTAGACATCCATGTCTTCTCCGTGCAGCTGTTGGTGCTGCTCTTGGAGCCCAGGCAGCCACTGTGAGGAAGCATCTTCCATATCCTCTGTCTGCAACAGCTGGTGCAAGTTGTCCATCCTGTCAACACACCTCAAGTTGGGACACAGCTCTACACGCAGCTCTCTCACTTGGGGAAGATTCGAGACCCTCTCTAGGCCTTCACAATCTGAGATTACAAGGACCTCTGAGAGGAAACGGAGGTTCTCCACCACCTTAAGGTTGTGCACATGTCTTAAATGGAGATCCTTCAAACTGGTGGCCTCCTGTCCAAGCTGCCGTGGGAGAGCTCTCAGCTTGGGGCAGCGGACCAGGTCCAACTTCTTCAATCGTGGCAGCAGCTGTATCCTTGGAGGTGGGGCATCCCACTTTTGATTTGCAGCAGCCTCACCGTCTCCCCCTTCCTTACCTGTTGTTGTTGCTTCTTGTTCTTCTTCAGCAACAAAGGACCACTCCTCCCAGTTGGGCATATCCCTGATGACCAATGTTTCAAGCTTTGGGAAAGCTACTGCCTCTGTAGATCTGAGATTACCCATCCCATAGCCAACAAATTCGGGTCCAATCATGGTGACTGCAGTGGTTCCTTCGATTTTCATATATTTCAAGTTGGGGAGCTGACCGATTGGTGGAAGATGAACACATGATTTGCAATCTATGAGGTTCAAGTATGTCAGTGAAGGCAAATGGGCAGCACTACCTAGCCAGACGGGAAACCTCCGACCAAAGAAATTCAGAAGACAGAGATTCTCCAGGTTGTGTGCAGGGATTAGCAAATCGAAGGTTTCCTCAATATTGATTACAGCTTTTTCAGAATATGGCTCACCTATGTGTTCAGTGCAAAGTAGGAATAATTCTCTGAGATGTTTTTTGTTTGCTAGCAGTGAATCTTTACTAGGAGGAACTGCTCTTTCCAGTTTGATCATATCAAGCCTCCTCAACTGCCAAAGGGGATCCAATTCTTCTATATTCCATCCATCTTGCATTACAGAATTGTTATAAGAGCCGTCACCAACAGGAAAGCCTTGTAAATCATTGAGAGAAATTAATCTGCCAATACCTTCTGGAACCTCATTTATTGGTGTGTCCTCTAGGCCAAGTCGCCTTAAGTTGCATAGCTGAGTTATTCCTGAGGGAAGACTATGCAAAGAATCACACCTCTGCAAATTCAATATCTGAAGGTTTATGAGACAACAGATGGACTCTGGAAGAGAAGATATGTCAGTCCCATCAAGGTCTAGTAACCGTAGGTGGATCAAACGTCCAATGCAAGGTGGAACAGCTTGTATCTGTGAACCTGTCAAATCCAAAACTCGAATGCATGGTAATCTTTCAAATATTGTATCATCAACTCTCAAAGACTTTGTATAAGATGTTCTCCAAGTTCTCACTTTACATTTCCCCTTATCTGTTCTAGGTAACACAACCATATCATTCATAGTAACTGCTGAAATACGGCGGAATTTACTCATAACAGTACTAACCCCTGCTGAATCTGGATCACCAACAAAAAGTTCTTCTCTGGATAAATGACAAGCAAGCTGCCTTAGTAGATCATGCATTCTACATTGAGTAAGATCAACAGAATAGTAATAATCTGGTTGGAGGAGATTTCGATAGATCAGCTCATAGTAGTATTCTTCTGCTATATCTTCAAGGACTCGGTCATCTTGCTCATCTATAAAGCCTTCAGCGACCCACAAACTTACAATAGCATCACGGTAGATTACCGAATCTTCAGGGAAAATAGCACAATAGATAAAACATTGCTTCAAATGGTGTGGCAGCTCTTCGTAACTTAGATATATAGGACTTGTTATTTCACTAGGAAGACTACTCATGGACCAAGCATCTTTTACCAAAATCTTCTTCCACTCATTCTCAGTTTGATCTTTGGTTGCCAAAACTCTAGCAATGACTTTAATTGCAAGGGGAAGACCACCACATCTACGAACAATATCGATCCCTAAGTCATGTAGATTTTGTACCTCTTTTTCTTCTTTGATGCCCATACTCTTCCATAGTAACTCCCATCCTATATCCAGTGACATTAAATCAACTCGATGTGTATAGTCCATTCCTGTTTCTACAGCAACAGTGTCAAATCGAGTTGTCAATAAAACTACTACTGAGGATGCAACATGTAGTGGGATTCTCAGTAGATTTGTCCATATGCCTGACTGCCACACGTCATCCAGCACAAGAAAAAAACTCTTATCCTTAATGGACAGTTCTAGCTTGCTTTGGAGCTCATCGGTTAATTCATCTGGCATGTACTGTACTTCAATTTTTCGTAGAATCTCCTTTAAAATAGCTATTTCAGAGAAATCTTGGGAAACACAAACCCATGCTTGTTTGTTGAAGCTCAATTTTAGTTTTTGGTCATTGTATATTTTTTGTGCTAGTGTTGTCTTACCAACTCCTCCTGTTCCAACGATAGCAAGCTTATAAGACCTTTTTTCCTTATGTGCAAGCACCAAATCTACTAATTTTCTGCAAGCACGTAAGACCTCCTTACCAACAAGGTTTGGCTCAACGAGGCTGGAACTTCTTCTCTGTTTTGGTACAGAAACTGTTATAGTTGATTGTGTACTCTTGAGTGAAGTAAATACTTTATCCTTTGAAATATTATCAATTCTTTTGTTTAAGTTTTTAATCTTAACTGCAATCTCATGACGTGTCTGGATATTAAAAAAGCAAGAGGAAAGAGAAAGGCCACTGCATGTATTTGAACTGCTTGATACTAATGAAGAATGGTGTGGCAATAGCTTGCTTCCTTTGGATTTGGCCAAGTCAATGATATCATCAGCATCATACATAGCATCTCTTAGCTGACCAAGCCAATTGTTAACAGCAGATTCTTTAATGCTCCTTTTCTCTGCATCATTAAGAAAGTACCGTATTTGCTCCATTCTTCTCTGCAGCTCTATGAGCTCTTCTTTAACACCTAAAATTAGTATGGCCTCCTCTGTAACAATATCTTGCAACTTCTTGGCACATGATCCAACAAAAGATTCAAGTATGGTTGCCATCAGATCAATATGTTTAGGGAGATGCACAAAAGAGTTGAAAGCTGGAAATGAATGAGAAAACGTGTTAACTTGGTCGCGAAATGGGATAACATTCACCAACTTTAACATATACCACTACTGATTTGTAGGGCAATGCTACGGTACTCGCATTACCTAATAGGAGGTAATAGCTCAAATCAATCTGAACCGTTGATTTTTTATTATTTAATAATATAAATAAATAAATATAACAAAAAAGATTTTTCAAATCCTGTAATCACGGGAGTACAAGAAACAAGCGGACATTCATTTCTTAGTTCGTGTGCACGTTACATGTTATTATATGCGTATACATATTATACATGCATAATACGCCTAAGCTTAACTCGCATATACATCTTAACGCTAGCTAACACAATACACAGGAGATGTATGTTACATGCGTATACATGTTATACATGCATCATACACCTAATCTTAACATGCATATACATCTTACATACATTTTAATACGCAAGTTAACACAGGAGGGACATGTTGCATCAAAAAATTGTGAGCTAACATGACGACGGTACCTAACACGGAGCGTTACATGCATCATCAAAAGACTAACATGCTAATTAAAATAGATCAATCCAAAGTTCCAAAACAAAAAGATTTACCATATCTAATAGATTACACATGCATCAATTAGATGTAGAAAAAAGATTTTTATATATCTAAAAATTACCTTATTTATCCTATTTTACAAAATAAAAAATTAAAATAAATATATATTTTACATATTACTTCCTAGTAGTCATTTGGGAGTGTCAGAGCAAAGCCCTTGTACAATAGGTTTTATATGAGTATAGTGAACTCACATCCAGAATTTTCGTGCACCTTATTATTAAGTTATATAGGAATAAACATCATTTCTCTACCGTCAATAAATCATGCATAATGCCATTCCATATGGATTAGAAACTAATAATACACTAGGTACATGACGGTGGTGGTTGACATGATATGTACAGGAATAAACATCTTTTGTCTACTGTCAGTAAATCACGCATAATGCCATGCCATATGGATTAGAAACTAATAAGCCCTTCATTAGATCAGACGGCTAGAATCATCTATTAGTTTCTAAGAGGTAATAGGTCAAATAAATATTTAGTTAATTTTTAATTTTGGAAAATAGGATAAAATAAGGAAAGTTCTAGATGTAAAGATCATTTTTAGATCTTTGATGCATACAAGATCTATTGAATGTGATAAATCTTTTTATTTTTGTAACTTTGGATATGACATAATTTAGGTAGCATATATAAACTACCTACTTGTTTATGCAAGTAACCCTGTCGTACGTACATGTCCACAAGACATACTACAACGTGTACGTGTACATGCCAAAAGACGTGTCCAACATACATGAAATTTACGTGTATACGTAAAACTTCACGTTACATGCTCAATATATAATGTGACAGCTATTAACGTTGGACACAAAACTTCACGTTGTTGATATTATTCAAGTATGTAACATATTTTTTTAACTGAGTATATAATATGAATGGTGTACAACTTTAACGTATGAAAAAAATTGTTCGCTAATTTGTTGTGAGAGAAAAATACTGTACCATGGCTGATAAGTTCAAGCGAACAGGGAGGCCCCGTTTGGATCCTTGAATTGAATTCATTTTAAGAATCATAATTTAGACACATATTAATTAAGCTAATATGATTGTATATGAATTATATTTGTATATTATTATTGACTATACGAGAGAGATACTTATGTGTTGCATTTCTACCGTAGGAGAGCGAGTTGAAGAGCGTCTTATAAGTTGCAAAGTAGAAATATAACATAGCGATCTATAGAACCAATTTTCATCTCATACCTTATGAATTTGAGATAGGCTTATATGTGAACTTTGAAAAGTGGTGGAATATCAAATTCCAAGCTAAATAGCCTAGTTTATTAAGTAGATTTTAATTCCTCCAAATGAAAAGGATCAAAACATGAGTCCAAATTTTTTTGTACGTGTAGTGTATACATGTATATATTAGCAAAAAGTAAAAATAGAACTCAAATAGCAACTTATTCACGTTGAACTAACGCAAAAGGAAGGGTCCGTCTGCACGGAAAAGGAAGGCGCCATGCGCTTGATTCTCTCTTCCGTGACGTGAGGATTTAACGATGTTTATTTTCTTTTCTTAGATTAATTAATTAGATAATTAACTCAAAAATCCTTAAAAAATCAATAGAGATTTATTTGAGATATTACCTCTTAATAAGTAAAGAGGGTACCGTAGCATTGCCCTACATTAGGTACATGACGTTGGTGGTTGACAAAATGAGTTGTAAGGTAAAATATTGAGGTACAAACCCCTGTCTTAGCTTCAGGGTCTGTTTAGTTGGGCTTTTGGCTTTGGCTTTTGGCCCCAAAAGCCAAAAGCCCAACTAAAGGGGCTGCTTTTCCAGACGGTTTTTTCAGAAGCAGCTGTTTTTTCGTATTACATTTTTGAAAGCTGGTTTGACCCTGCTTTTGGCTTTCTGCTTTTCGAAATTGGTGGAAGAAAAAGCTTTTCCATAGTTGTTTCAAAAGAGATAGAGATAGAAGGTATATTTTATACTTGTTTAATCAAACAGCTTTCAGCTTTTCTACAGCTCACAATCCACAGCAGCTTTCTCACAGCAGTTTTTTTCCACAGCCACAGCTCAACCAAACACACCCTCATTCTTGTCCCTTTCTATTTCTAGTGTTGTAAGTTAAGGTACTCTAGATTTGATGTTATCAATTTCAAAAAGTACTTGGCATGTTGAACTTGCACGTAAAACCTCTACTAATACTTCCATTAGTTACACATTTCGATCTGGTAAAACATGATAATGGTCAGATTGCAAGTACATGTTGGATGTCTTACCTTAGAAATATATCTTCCAACTAGAGTCAATAGTAATCCTCTTGTTGGCATATACAGTTCGTTTGGATTGTCGACCCATCCAGCGTACTGCACCGATGCTATGCGTGCAGATCAAAAGTAAATCCTTTGGGGAAAAAAAACCAATTTATTAAGTGGATAGAAGAAATTATCCGCCAATCACCAACAGAGAACCACAGATATCACAGCTAATTAAACCTGCAAAAACGAGAAAGAATTAAATGGCAACCCTCTTGCTTGTCAAAACAAAGGTTGTTCAATGACTGGCAATTACTAGATGGTACCCATAACTAGAATAGTTCAGCAGAAAGTTAAAGCAAGAAGAGTATCACTGTATTTAAGCTATGATGGTGGAGCAGTAAGTACCTGATTACAGGTCAACTGATAAGCCACTAATCAGATGGTACACATCAAATAGATCAGTATGCGTCGATGCTATTTTTCCTTTTTTGCTCCCAACAGGATCACTTTGGTGAGAGATGAACTCGCTCAACAGAAATGGGCACACAGAGCATTAAACCTGTGCCAGCTCTGCTTGATCAGCACATGCAAGTCTAGGAATCATCTTCAATGAAGGAAATGAGTGTGACAATATATAAGAACTAGTAGTAACCATCTTGCAGAAGCAGTTCCTCCAGATCATTACAGGTGAGTACGTTTAAGATCTTCAATACTGAGGTAAGGTCTTTAGACACCAATGTATAGAATAAATAATGGAGGACAATCACCGGATGCCACGGCAAGTCCTGCAAAATGTGGTGACAACTAGAACAGTTTAGCAGGATCAGTGACAGCCCTCGTTGATCAATACCTACAACTAGGACAGCCAACTAGAAGAATTGTTACCACTGAATCAGAATTTTATTCGGCGACACCAAAGCAAACCTCCAATGGACAGGACACTGCGGAAGTGGAGACTTTATTCGGCGATACCAAATCGTTGGAATCTTGCCCTACCTGATATTGACAAAAGAGGCAGGCATCTTCCTGGACATGTCATTGACGCAGCATATGTGCCATCTCTCAGTGGCTGCAGATGTAACACGCACTCTGCTCTGCCGGCGAGTGGGGGCCCACCACTCTGCTCTGCTCTGCCGCAATCTGTTGGCTAGGCTAGCCAGGCTTACATTTTGAAGAACGCAAAGAGCAGTCCCTCGTTCCTACTCAAGCATCCTCTCTATTCCTTCCTCCAACTATTGGCACCACCAAAGCAAACCTCCAATGGACAGGACACTGCGGAAGTGGAGACTTTATTCGGCGACACCAAATCGTTGGAATCTTGCCCTACCTGATATTGACAAAAGAGGCAGGCATCTTCCTGGACATGTCATTGACGCAGCATATGAGCCATCTCTCAGTGGCTGCAGATGTAACACGCACTCTACTCTGCCGGCGAGTGGGGACCAACCACTCTGCTGTGCTCTGCCGCACTCTGTTGGCTAGGCTAGCCAGGCTTACATTTTGAACTTTTTTACTAGCTGTGTCGATCATTGGTGGACCCATATGAGGGAAGACGTTGAGAGGCGTCAATAAGGGAGGCGTTGGATGTGTCTATGGTCGGTGGGCCCATATGCGCCGTAACGCCTCCCAACGCCTCCAAAGTTGAGAGGATTAGAACTTTAAATAAAAGAGTGGTAATTCCTTTTTCGTAGTTATTTTTTTAATCAAGGGTAAAACGGTAAATCCACAATTATAAAAATAATGTTTTGAGTAGTATAGTTGGGATGTATGATTGCACAGGCGAGGGTAAGGCTTGTCACTGACACCCTTCCCCAGACCCCGCACAGAGTGGGAGCTCTCTGCACTGGGTACGCCCTTTTTTTTAGTTAGATGAATATTTGCTTTTAAAAAAAGATGAATATTTTTGTCTTTTTAGGGTTCATTCGCCGCCGTCGTCCGCCATCCGTCCGCGGGAGAACCTCGACGCACTGCACCGCTCCTGCATCATCTCTGGCGAGATCCGGGCCCGACCCCTCCTCACCAGCCCTCAGCTCCCCAACCGAGCACATGGAGGCCATAGCGGTGACTACGCTCCTGGTCACAGCAGCGGCGGCCGTCTCAAGGAGTTGAACCAGGATTGCGCTCATAGTCAC